CCTCCTTTTGGCTGATGAAATAGGATTGTTGTTGTTGTTCTTGTGTGTTTCAAGTTGTTTCAGACTTAGCTTGACCCTGAGCGAGGGCCGGGTAAATGACCTTTAAGAACCGCATCCAGCCCCTGGGCCTTAGTTTGAGGACCCCTGTTCTAGAGGCATTCTCTCCTGACGTTTCACCTGCTAATCAAGGTGTTCAGCTGAAACATTCACACCTAGCTCCAGCAGACAAGAATCCTTTGTCCCACCCTGGTCATTCCACAGATATCGACTTGTGATTTTGTGATACGAAATCCAGCATATAGATCTCGTTTGCTGTGACATACTGTGCTTTTGTGTCAATAATAATAATAATAATAATAATAATAATAATAAATCTGCTGCAAGAAGATCGCACAGACAGATTACAAGCAGAGGCATAACACCATTGCTCAGAGGATTCATTGGACCTTGTGCCATAAACACCATCTGCCTGCGACAAAGAACGGGTGGGATCACAAGTTAAAGAAAATGAGCATGTCAAACTCCTCTGGGACTTCTGAATTCAGACAGACAGAGTTTTGGAGCACGAGACTCCTGACCTCATGATCGTGATCAAAAACCAAGTATGGATCATTGATGTTGCAATCCCAGGCAACAGAAGGATTGAAGAGAAACAACTGGAAAAGCTGACACGATATGAGGATTTAAAGATCAAACTGCAAAGACTCTGGCACAAGCCAGTCAAGGGGGTCCCAGTGGTGATCGGCACACTGGGTGCAGTGCCTCAAGACCCTGGCCTGCACTTAAACACAATCGGTGCTGACAAAATTACCATCTGCCAGCTGCAAAAGGCCACCCTGCTTGGATCTGCACGCATTATTCGCCGATACATCACACAGATCACACTTGGGAAGGTCTGATGTGTGATCCAATACAACAGCCAGCAGAGTGACCTTGTTTACTGTGGACTCATCTTGTTGTGTTTCAAATAATAATAATAATAATAATAATAATAATAATAATAATAATAATAATAATAAACACTTGCGAAGTGTCCGACGTGTGATCCAATACAACAGCCAGCAGAGCGATCGTGTTTTCTGTGGGCTCATCCTGTTGTGTTTCAAATAATAATAATAACTAGCTGTACCCGCCATGCGTTGCTGTGGCAAACCTTCCCTCCCTCTTTCTCCTTCTTTTTCTTTCTCCTTCCTTCCCTCCCTTTTTCCTTCTTTCCCTCTTTTTCTTTCTCTTCTTCTTTCTTCCTTCTCTACCTGTTTCTTTTCTCGCTTCCTTTGCTGTTTGGTTTCATCCTTCCTTGTCTCTTTCCTTCCTTCCTTCCTTCCTTCCTTCCTTCCTTCCTTCCTTCCTTCCTTCCTTCCTTCCCTTCCTTCCTTCCTTCCTTCCCTCTTTCGTTCCTTCTCTCCTTACTTCCTTCTTTCACTTTTTTATTTCCTTCTCTCTTTCCTTCCTTCTCTACCTTTCTTTCTTTCCTTCTTTCCCTCTTCCTCTCTTTCCTTCCTTCTCTATCTTCCTTTCTTTGTCCGGTGGTTTAGCCATTTTTGACCGCCTAATTACGACCTTAAGGGTCTTATATATATATATATATATATATATATATATATATATATATATATATAATAATAATAAACACTTGGGAAGTGTCAGACGTGTGATCCAATGCAAGAGCCAGCAGAGCGATCTTGTTTGCTGTGGACTCATCCTGTTGTGTTTCAGATAATAATAATAATAATAATAATAATTATTATTATTATTATTATTATTATTATTATTTCAAAGTCCAACATGCCTGATTTTGAATCATAGCTGCAGTGTCTCGCACACAAACATTACTTCGGAATAGTCTCCATTAACTTAGTAAAACTGTGCCGATTGTGTGGTGTGTATTTTTGAAACCACCTCGCAGCGGGTGTCTATTTGGGTAGGAAAAAGATGGGAGGACGGGCAGATTCGTAAGCTTATTTTGCATGCAGGTTTCCCTGGCTGCATTCAAGAAGCCCAGCTTCTTCTTGCTTCCGGGAAAAGCCAGGCTTGCTTTGAAGTGTTTCGAGATGGGAAAGAGACGGCAGAGGAGGAAACCTTTGCCCAGCATGGAGCCCACCATGAGGGATGATGCTTTCCCTTTTGAAAACAAGACAAAGACTTCCAGGAAAGCGTTGGCAAACTTAACAAGCTGGTCAGTGTTAAAAAATACTCTATACATTAGTGCAAACAAAGACATTTTTCAAAAACAAGCCGTACCACAGGGTCAATATACATTTCCATTTGCAAACTAACAGGAAAAGGCGAAAGTTGTTCCAATTTCATTAGATGGAGTCCAGTGCATTTTCGTAGTTTTCAGCATTTCCGGCACAATTCGCTTTTAACAATTTTTGTACACAAGGTGCTATTATTCGGCAATTGCTCTCCATCAGACACAGAATGCTATACCCTCAAAAACTGTGGCATAGACACCGAGACCTGGGAAGCCCTGGCCCTTGAGCACTCTAACTGGAGGTCAGCTGTGACCAGCAGTGCTGCGGAATTTGAAGAGGCATGAATGGAGCTTCCTCCATATCAAGGCAGAAAATCCCACATTGTCTGAGTGTGGACTCAGATAACCCAGTTCAAAACAGATATTGTGGGATTGTCCATCAACTCTGCTTGTCCGAATGCCCGATCATCATCTCCTAAAGTAGTTACTATACTCCCAACTCAAGTACAGGAAATGTAATGCTGGTGGTCAGGAAAAGAGTTTGAAAGATGGGCTTAAGGTCAGCCTTAAAAACTGTGGCATAGACACCGAGAACTGGGGAATCCTGGCCCTTGAGTGCTCTAACTGGAGGTCAGCTGTGACCAGCAGTGCTGCAGAATTCGAAGAGGCACGAATGGAGCTTCCTCTCACATCAAACTTACACAGGAGCTTCACACAGTAGCTTTTTACACACGACAGCCTTCACACAAGCTTCAACCTGGGGCTTTCCTCACCAAAGCTTCTCACACCAGGTCTTCTAACGCTGAGGCCAACTCATACTGAGGACTACTTACACACTGAGACCTCTCTCACTGAGGTTTACCTCACACTGAGGCCTCTCCCAGAATATCAAGGCAGAAAATCCCACCTTGTCTGAGTGTGGACTCAGATAACCCAGTTCAAAGCAGATATTGTGCGATTGTTCATCAACTCTGCTTGTCCGAATGCCTGATGGTCATCTCCTAAAGCAGTTGCTATACTCCCAACTCAAGAATAGGAAATGTAATTTCGGTGGACAGGAAAAGAGTTTGAAAGATGGGCTTAAAGTCAGCCTTGAAAACTGTGGCATAGATACCGAGAACTGGGGAACCCTGGCCCTTGAGTGCTCTATCTGGAGGTCAGCTGTGACCAGCAGTGCTGTGGAATTCGAAGAGGCACGAAAGGGAGAAACACAGCAAGAGGAAGGCGTGCCAACCCAACCCTGATCGTGTCCGCCTTCCGAATGGCCAGCTATTGGTCAAAAGACATTTAGTATAATGCCAAGTTTTTAAGTTTGTGTTTTCAAATAATTCTCTGTATCCTATCCTTTCACATATCAACCAGAAGCATTTTCAGGTGAATGCCAGGCATCAGTGATTACTTCCCTTAAAACACATTTTCTTTTTGCATTCCTGAAAAAGTTGCAATATAATATAAAAAGTGGGTTTCTTACCACAGACATTTACACAGTTTATAAGACAGTAATTTTTTTTTTTGCATAGCTGAACAAAATAGTACATGTTGTGGTTTGGTCCTGATATCTCAGCATTTCTCAACCTGGGGGCCGGGACCTGCATAGCTCAAGCCTGAACAAAAATGGAACAGTGACCAAAAGTCCCAGGCTCAGCCTGCTCCCTGCTCCCTGGGCATTGCCCAGCCAATCAGCTTCATGCACCTTATTTAGCAGTTGACAGTAGGTTCGAATCCGAGGTGAGGTGGATGAGCTCCCTCTATCAGCTCCAGCTCCTCATGTGGGGACATGAGAGAAGCCTCCCACAAGGATGATAAAAACATCAAATCATCCGGGCGTCCCCTGGGCAACGTCCTTGCAGACGGGCAATTCTCTCACACCAGAAGCGACTTGCAGTTTCTCAAGTCGCTCCTGACACGACATGAGAGAAGCCTCCCGCAAGGATGATAAAAACATCAAATCATCCGGGCGTCCCCTGGGCAGCGTCCTTGCAGACGGCCAATTCTTTCACACCAGAAGCGACTTGCAGTTTTTCAAGTCGCTCCTGACACGAAAAAAAAAGCAGCTGACACACACACATGACTGCATGGAGCGCCGTTACCTTCTTACAGAAGTGGTACCTATTGATCTGCTCACATTTGCTTGTTTTCGAACTGCTAGGTTGGCAGGAGCTGGGGCTAACAGCAGGAGCAGTTTTTCAAGTCACTACTGACACGACAAAAAAAAAAGCAGTTGACACACACACATGACTGCATGGAGCGCCGTTACCTTCCCGCAGAAGCGGTACCTACTGACCTGCTCACATTTGCTTGTTTTCGAACTGCTAGGTTGGCAGGAGCTGGGGCTAACAGCAGGAGCTCACCCCGCTTCCCCAGATTCGAACCGGCAACCTTTCAATCAGCAAATTCAGTGGTTTAACCCTAAAAGTGTTAACTAAAAGGGTTACGAAAGTAAATTAGGGAAGGGGACGAAGTGGTTCCGTCTTGTTTCCACCAGATCACATTGTCAGAAGTACCTTCAAAGTCCTTTTAGCACAAAAGAAAGCTCCGTCCCTCCACGTGTGCCACGACCTGAAAGCCAGGGTGCAACTAAGCACATTACAACCGAACATTAAAGAGTTCCAAGCTACAGAGATGAAAGCAACACTCTTAACTAGCATTTGCTAAACTAATTTGGTGGCACGGGCTCCCCTTCGGCGTAGATGAAGGCATCACAGTGGCACAAATCGAACTACATTATTGAGGCCAAGTCCATCAGGAAGGTCTCCATCTCAGGAAGGAAAGGTCTTCTCGCTCAAGGGGAAGCCTGGGTGGGTGGCACCACGACAGAGGTTCTGCAGGCTAGTAATAGCCTCAAAGTGGGCTTGGGGATCCCATTCCGTGCCCTTCCGAAGTTCGAAGTAGTCTAGTGGTTCTTCCCAGTTTCCTGAGCAGGAGAGTGGGCATTTTGGGCGAGCCTTGCCCCGCCGCGCACAGTTACACGTCTGAGGTTCGGATGCTTTCGTCATCCAAGTCGAAAGGGAAAGGGCGCTCTTTCGGCTTCTGGGGCTCCGAACTGTGCCGCAGCCGCCTCGCCGGCACGGAAACGCCGTCTTGCTCCGAAAACAGAGGTGCGAACTCAGAGTCTTTCGCCTGACCGGGCTTTTGCTCCGCTCCGGGCTGCTGGTTCCCTTCGGACGGCGGGATGGGCATCCAAGGAAGCCAGCAGGAGGTGGACGGGCTTTTGCCGCCAAGGGGTTTGGACTCTTCTCCCAGCTGCTTTAGCCGCGCAATGGACGATGTGGACGAGGAGGGGCTGCCACGCTTGTTCATGGACATGGACCTCACCAGAGACATTTCCTGCAAACAAAGAAGGAGACAGAGACTCAAAAACTTTTCCTCCCCACTTCTGAGTTCTAGATTGCCATTGTAGATGCTGTGAATGCTCCAATTGAACAGTTATCCATACTTTCAGGGCTGGTTAACACTTCCCAACAAAGGATACCCCTGGACAGGAAGCAGCTAGGCTTTGAAGCTGCAAGGCCATTCAATGCTAATCAAAATGGCCAATTGCAACACTCACACTTGCCTCCAACAGACAAGAGTTCTTTCTCCCACCCTGGACCTTCCACAGCCA